ATATATATATATATATATATATATATATATATATATATATATATATATATATTCTCTGTGTGTGTATATATATATACACACACACACTTGAATGACTAAATGCAAATAGGTTAATATCATTCCTACAAGACAGTAGCTTCTATTCACAGGTCCACATTTACAGCACAACCCAAATTTTAGCCACACTGTACAGAATGCTGACTGTATAGCGCATTTGGTCCTTTAAAAAGGATATGTGGTTATGCTACTGCACACTACATTATAACACAGTACTTTTAATTACTCTATTATTCTTTTCCAGAAAGGAAAAAAGGGATACCATCTGGTAAAAAATTACATCCATTTTGGTATACAATTCTTCAGCAATCATATAATACACATGCTTATTATTCTCAGACTAAAGCCATCTTCAAATTGATACATTTTAATTAAGCTGTTTTCCACACTAACCTCTGTCAGATAATCCAGCTGCTTTCAAATTCACGCTGATGTTCCACATATTTTCAGTTTTGATTTGTAGTACTCCCACCCCCCCACCCCAAGACACAAATGCAACATGAATTTGTCCAGTGTGGAAAGGCAAAGTGCCATTAAGGCTCCTCAGAACACTCGGCACATTTTAAACTAGGTTCTTGTTGTTTATAGGCCATACCTGTTTTATTAGTTCCCTGTGATCAATGCTGAATGATTAATGATAAATATCTTCTTAATTATCCCTTGAATGGCCTTTCTTAAGGACCTTATGCCAGCTTCTATTGCCCCTGATGAGGAAAGCCTTCACAATTTGCTTGGTGGCGTTTATTGGTTAAGTTTATTCTGAATAATGAAATAGTATTTCCTTATTAAAAAATAAATTTCCAAGAGAAACAATCATTAAGGCTTCTCATTCACCACCAGAAGAGAGAAACTGATGGGACATGCAAAGTGGGAGATCTTAATGAACATTGATTGGCAAAGGGATTGCTGAGCATTTCTACTTGTGACTAAACATTATGGACTACAGAAAGATCTGGAATATAGAAAACAACAGGGCTGAAAAACCACTACTATCAGAGGTGTTGTGAGTAGCACCCCTTTTAATTCCAATTTTGCCCCATTTGTCATCAAAAGTAGGAAATTCCATCAGAATTGCACTTTTTCAGAAATTATGAAAGTGCATATTCCATGGATAGATGTGCTTTTTGGCAATCTCTGACACATCAATTTTGTTTTCTATATATCTTTTTCTTCAGACTAAAGCAGCTTGTCCCAATCTGCCACCCTTAATGTTTTTCAGGACTGCAAACTACAGAATTCTTAGTTAGGTTCTAATGGGAATTGCAGTTCTAGCATAACTGAGGGCAGCAAACTTGAGAAGATTGAACTAGAATGACACTTGTATAAACAAAATTGGTTTTAAAGTCAGTATGCAAAAATGAACATTCAATATTTTTCTTTTTCTTTTGTCTTTATGTATTACTTTTCAGCGATCACTTAAATAATCCTCAAAGTCTATTTCATATTAATCATCCTGACATTTAAAAAAAAAACTGGTGAAACTTATATAAGAACTAATATATGTGTGTGTGTATGTATATATATATTAATAAATATTTATATATATGTATATATGGCTTTAGACATACACTGTTATATGTATAACTTAGCAATTTCTAAAAATGACATAATAGAATCCAACTTCACCACTATTCACATTTCTAATTTTAGTTCAGATTTTGAAACAAGATCAGCATCTTTCTAGATTGCAAAAGGGTGCTTTAAAAAAAGAAATGTAAGTGAAACACATTTAAAATGATTCTGGAAACAATTAGAAAAATAAGTGTCAACTCTTTAAAATAAAATTACAATTACAAAACATTTAGGAGCTCTATATTCATGACCTCCTTTAATGATTTAAAATATCCCCTCCACATTTTTGCAGCAGTTTTGAATTTATCTCATCATATCTTATAACAAAAATAACTTGACATGTATATCCTAAACCTTCTATGTCTACATGTAATATGTTTTTGTTAGCCATGTAATATAATATTTGTCACTCCTAAATGAAAGGATGGCCATCTCAAAATTCAATATCTGATTATCTCTTCAACCAGTAACTAATTCTCATCCTTTTTGCTGACTTTTCTCCACTTTCTTAAATATGTCCTATTTCACATCAGTAATAAATATTCAATATTGTTGCATGACCCTATTGCACTGTAACAATACATATGTTTCACAGCAGCCATTTTGTTACAACTAAATATAGGAATTTATTATGCCTACTTGAGTGTGCAATGAGATGTGGGACTTTTTCAGAATGAATAGTGGAGTATTAACTGATAAAATGTATGCTGAGTTTGGGGAAAAGATTGTCAAGCAAGGGCCTAGCTTAGAGTACAGCCCCATAAGACATAAGCTTGACCTCCACCCAAGTTTCATGAAGCTCTGGTCATTCCCAGGGGAAGGTTGTTTGGGGAAAATCTTGTAATATAGGTAGAAATCAATAAAGTTCTTTACTTCAGCTATTTATGTGTAGCTCTGGTTGCTTGTGCCTGACATGGATAAACAGGAGATGAATAGAAGGACAAGGATTAGTAAGCGCTGATAAAACATCATGTTGTAACCTCTATATTATCCATGTCTAGCTTTCCCCACGTCTTGGGCATCCTAAGCTAATACCGCCCAGATGTGTGGGGTTTCAATTCCATTCCAACCCAACCAGAGACATCAGATTTGAGGCATAATATATTTGACTAATGCCACTGTATTACAGCCCTGTTTTCAAAAGAGCCCTAGAAACTATTCTGCCCTTTAATATACCCAACCATTCACTTGCATTATCAAAAACTAACTAGGGAATTCTTGTAGTAGTGACATTGGGAGAAACTATGGCAAGGTGAAGTGGGGGAATCCTAATTGTGCATAAAGTGATACAATTCTGGAAAATGTGAACAAGACCTTTACTTTTCAGTCTAGTTGACACAGAAGCCCCTTTCAATATAAAAAAGTTTGTAACAATGCCTTTCCTGTACGTCTCCCAAGGCAAAGCACCAGGTTCCTACTCTTTCGTGAAATAATTACATTATTCTGTAACATGTTATGTTGGATGCCATCTGATCTGAACATTTTAAAAAGAGAAGTTTACATAAGATGCCGACTGATTTTTTCCCCTTCAGCTTGACCTCAACTAGAAATAAAATAATTTATTCCCATAGAGAATGCCAGTCTACTGCACTTGACACTTCCATTTTCCACACAGATGCCAAAGCAAATAAAGTAGAGGCAATTCCATAGATGTTCCAGATATCCATATAGCAGAAGTCACAAGGTTTGAGTCTTTTTTCCCTTTTTTATCCAGATCAAAGGCAAAAGGACAACAAGGCATTTAAGCTGTGATGAGCAAAACCGAGTATCTGCTGATAAAACAGATCAGGTTCTTAAGGCCTTTGTCTATGCAGAGTTATAATAATGCAGAAGCCTGGTTGAATAGAAATTGAGGGGAAAGAGAACAGAAGGGGAGAAGAGATCTATGTCAGTAAAGTCACAATGTCAATACTGTGTTTACAGAAGAAGAGATGCACACAGCTTGCCCTTTGAAAGCTTCTCCGTATCTTTGCATTTAATACTGCCAGAGTTAATAACACATTGTAATGGAGTTTAGTTGCAACGGAAACATTCATTCACACACTTCATACAAGGAAGTGCTAGGAATTTCTACCCTAGAATATCCAGGTAGACTGGTGAGGCCTTGGCCAAGTTCTGAAGGAGAGAGTAGATTTCTTTGATATTGAGTCTCATATGAGGCTCCCGCTGCCAGCACCCAAGCATCAGGTCATATACTTCCTTTGGGCAGGTACGAGGTCGCTGTAGGACGCGGCCCTGAGTAATACACTCAATTACCTGAAGAAAGGACAAGAAGAGAGTCTGTTGATTTGTTTCTTTTGTTGGTGATAAATCATTGGCCAATACATGCAAAGATAATCTCGCAACATGTTTGTCTAAAACTTTTGTACTCTTATTCCTAATTATTTATTTTAAAAATAGGATTTTTCATTTGCACCATAAATACTAAATAATGGCGGCAAGGCAAGGTGAGGTGAGGTGAGGTGAGGCGAGGCGAGGCAAGGCAAGGCAAATAAACAAATAAATAAATAAATAAATAAATAAATAAATAAATAAATAAATAAATAAATAAATAATAAATAAATAAATAAATAAATAAATAAATAAATAAATNAATAAATAAATAAATAAATAAATAAATAAATAAATAAATAAATAAATAAATAAATAAATAAAGTCATTCTATTTCATTGATACATTGGGAAAAGTTAGCTATACCGGTACACAAGGAAGATCTTTCAATATTTCTCTCCTCCCTTTCTAAATATACTCCCTAAATAGTAGTTTATTAAACTTACATGTAACCCAACTCCTAGGAACTCTGGGAAGTTTAAAATAAAAGTGTTTATTGCTTAAACACTTTTGACTATTTTGCTTTTGGGGTTAGGATGTGTTAAGATATTTAAATTTAGTAGCTGGAACAATGAGGTTAGACAATGATTCAAAACACATAGTTATAGTTGATTGGTTGGCGCATGCTGGCTCCTGCATGATGTAATCAACACTGTGATTGGTTGCTTGGATTGATGGCGATGAGGATTTCCCTTTTTCCCGCCTTTTTCTTCTGTGTGCTCTGTGATTTACCTCATGATGCTCCTGTTTGCCTGACTATCTTGTTTGCAGTAAATATATATGTTAAACATATTTATTTATATAAAACTACAAATTCATGTCAGCGTCTCTGACTTCATTTGGACACCTACTGCACAATTTCCTGACAGCATGCTGGCAGCACTGCCGCAGCGCAACCTACTCTTGGCTGAATAACTTGGAGGTTGCTGTCAATTCCTTCCTCTTCCCTGCAATCTCTGACTTAAAATTAATGCAGGAAAAATGTTTCCAAATTTTTTTGCAGTCAAGCTCTTGAAGATATCCAGTGGAAACTAGATCAGCTTTATGTCCTCTAAAGAGCTTGCTATCATCATATTTTCATTCCATTCTGACAAAGATGAAGCAGCTGCCAGCATTTTGATACTTCCTCATTCTCCTATGAATAAATGGCGTTTCAAGGAAAGTTTCAAAGGAGCTTGAATCAAGGTGGTTTTTTCTCAATTTGCAAAATCAGATTAAATCTCTTCAAACCTCTGAATTGCATTGTGATTGTACAGGCCTTGGACTGGCATTGATGGAACCTTAAAAAAGAAGGTTCACTGTTGTGGCCCAGCAGGAGCCGTTGGAGCTGCCACCAGACTCTGACAGTGAGGGGCCCTATGAGTCAACTCTGGAGGATGTGGAGGACCCTGGACAGGGTTCCGACTCCGAGCACGGCACAGAGAGGTTGGTTGGCCACCAGGAGGCACCTGAGCCTTGGACCAGTGGGGAGGAGACAAGGGAGAGTGAGCCAGAAGCCAATAGTGAGTTGTTCCTGGATGCACGCCATTGAAGAGCTAAAAAGTGTCAGGAACAATTACAAAATTACAGGAGGTAATTGTACTCAGCTGGTGGTCATTAGGCTCCTCTCCAGACTATAAAAGGTTAATTGTGCACACGCCCCTCTTTGCAGAAGTCAACACAGAATCGAATGTCAGAGAACTTTGTGTGCTTTGGTGTGAAATGAGGGGGGTCAGAACAGTTGACTATACTAAGAATCTTAGTAGTACAGAATGGTAACATAGGACAATATCCACATACCTCATTGTTTGAGAGCTGATACCACGGCTGTTTGCCATAGGTAAAGATTTCCCAGAGAACAACGCCAAGGCTCCAGACATCACTTTCCGTGGTGAATTTTCTATACATGATGCTTTCAGGTGGCATCCAACGAATAGGTAACATAGTATGGCCACCAACCTGGTGAAAAAGAAAGAAGCTTAAGAGTCTGAGGGAGTAACTAAATACCCAAAGTGGCATGATATTATATTATTTGCATTTGGCTTATTATGTGCAATGATTACAAGTTCAACTAGAGTTATCAAGCACTTTCTTCCAGTTGGGTGCACAATATTACTATATTTAGAGAATTCTGCTGCTGTACCACAACTGATCTCCTTGTGAAAAATACCGTGGGGGAAATTTCAAAAAGTACTTTCTCAGTCACAAGTTACTATTGATTACTGACACACACACCCCGCCCCCAAAAAGAAAGGTCAGCTGCCTTTCTTGTTTTATGTTCGCCGGGGAATATGAGGTACAGTGAAAATTGATATTTTTCAGATAATCCCTTCTTCGTGACCAGAATACATGGAATACAATAAACAGCTAAAGGTGGGCATTGTATTTGGATAAATGTCAGATTTTGGCAGGAAGCTGGGTAATTAGGAACAGATTTTCTTTTTTCTAGGCGCGAATACGTAAATGTCTTATCACAATTCTGGAGTACAATAAAACTCCTAACTTTCAAAACTGCAAAAACTGATTCTGAAACAGCTACAGCAGTACATACTAGTCGGGGGTGGAGGTGGGGGGGAGAGAGAAAGGGAGGGAAGGAAAGAGAGAGAGGGGGGAGGGAAGGAGAGGTTTTTCCCCCCAAATCTCAGTCTGAATCTATATATATATTTGAATTTGATTTGGCTGTTTCTGCAATGACCTGGATGGAACTGGGTAGTTTCTGAAATGCCAAACTGGACTCACAAACTGTTTCATTAATGAATAAGTGGATATTTTAGGCAAACACACATTTTATTTATGGCTTGCTTTCTCACATTTAATTGTGCTGGATTATAACAATTACATAATCCTATAGTGTAAGTGAGACAGTTTGGTGTAGCTATGAAGGCATCAAACTAGAAACCAGGAGACTGTGAGTTCTACTCCTGCCTTGGGTATACAGCCAGGTGGGTGACCTTGGGCCAGTCACTCCCTCTCAGCTATAAAAAGCAGGCAATGGCAAACCAATTCCAAACACTTCCACTTCCAAACAACCTTGCCAACCAAGGTGGTACCCAGGTAATCGCCAGGAGTCAACTTAGACTCAAAGGCACCATAAACAAATAAACAATCAAATAATAGTCAAAGGATTGATAAGCTTCTCAAGAAGCTAGAAAGCTACTTGTTGGTGACCCTACACTTCTGGATTTATTGAACCAAGCAGCATCACATACATGCATGCATATACCATAACCAAAACTAAGTTACTGAGTCACAGTGCTCAGCATCCAACATCTTATAAATGGGCTTCCATCATTTGCTGCTACTGTATTTGTAATAGCTTTGTAAGGGATTAGCCTTTACTTTACACATCTGGGCTCTGTGTGTGAAGCACTCCTGGTGTTCTCTGTTTCTCTAGAGATTTGTTTTGGCTTCTAGAGCACATTACAAGCTGCTTATCATGGGCTGTCAGAGCCAGGATGTGTAAAAAAATCCCTTAACCGAATCAATATGATATATGGCTACATATGAAAAGGAGAGCATTAATAATGTATTGTCAGCATGCATAGCAGACATAAACACAGATTTCACTTCTGACCTTTGCTCTAAGAAGAGCTGGGATGGCAAACAGCTTTTTCATTTACTTGGTGGTTGCATTCACTTTAATAGAATTTTTTTTTAAATTAAAAATTAAACTCACAGAAATATGTGGTTGCACACAAGGAGCATAGGGCAAGTGTCATTAGAACATTATTAGTTGTTAGAGGATTGGGGCTCATTAAATATTCAGTGGCTTTTAAATCTGTTCATCAAGTTGCATCTATAGCTGCAAACCCATTCAATGGGTTTTATGGCACAGTCTTTAAAAAATTAATGAAAATGGCCACTGTAAAACATATTTTTTCTTTTATTGAGATTTCTCTAGGATTTATGTTTTTCCCCTGCTGTAAGAAATGTAAAAGCCTATAAGTCAGTGAAGCAATATTCCCTCTTATTAGCCTGTTATATTAGATAATGTAGCTCAAATAAATGTAAAAACATTATGTGACTGTTAAGATTATATACACCTAATAAGGGGAGGGATGGCGAGAAAAAAATATTATATTTAAAATATTTAATAGCAATAGCAATTAGACCTATATAGCACTTTACAGTGCATTGCAGCCCTCTCTAAGTGGTTTACAGGGTCAGCATATTGCCCCCAACAATTTGGGCCTTCATTTTACCCACCTTGGAAGGATGGGAGGCTGAGGAGTCAACCTTGAGCCTGGTGAGATTTGAACTGCCAAATTGCAGGCAGCCGGCAGTCAGCAGAAGTAGCCTGCAGTACTGCACTCTAACCACTGTACTTCATAATGATTAATTAACCAACTTAGACACCTTAATATCAGATTTTGTTTTATTTCTGCACATTTCATTCCTGTGAAATAACTTGCTGGAGATGAACCTTCTATCTTTATGGCAAAACAAAAATTAAGAGCTCCCCTAGTCTAAAACCTAATTACAAATTATAACTCTTGTGTGATTCTTATGCTTTCATCTCTAGCTGGCTTTGATCTCAAGTCTGGATGTTGTGACATTTCACAAAGATTGAAGCTAACTATATGGATTCTGTTAGGCCCATCTCATCAAGAGCTTGCAGCAGAATTAAAGGTAGAAAGAAACATAGGGAAGATGCTGGCATAACAGTCACCTGCCTCACTCAGTTGGCAAAAAAACTGGAAAGGAACAACAGGGACTGAGCTGTCCCAAGGTGCTTTTTTCCAAAAGGTAATTGGACTGAACTGAAGAAACTTCTAGGATGAGAAGCAAATTATTTTCAAAGAAAAATCCAAGAAAGTCCAGTTGCCTTCTGGAAAAATACATTTCTGGGGCAACCATGACCAGGATGAGTGGGAATCTTCATAGATAGGAACACACACACGCACACACACACAACACACACACCTTCCCACACATACACAGACAAACAAAAGCCAATGGTGGAAGCTCTTGTCAGGGATGGCAAGAGTAGACTGGATCATACCACTGCAATCATTGCACTGTCCCTTCCTTTCACCATTCTCATGCTAATCGGTGAGTCTCCTACACTCCTCATTTTTCAGCCTGTTGGTATATTGCAAAAAAAGAGGGGCTACCTGTTTATAATATAAACCTCTTCCCCCTGCTTACTATTTCATTCATGCTCACTTTAGGGCCATGGTGACAATAAACACTGCCTGCTTTTGTGGACTGCATAAGAAAGACAGTGAGGAGAGAGCGCTGCTGCATACTAATTGACACATTTTAATGACTGCCTTCTCTTACTCCCTCTTTGCCCATCCCCTTCTCTAAATTGTTGCGTTCAAGCATGTGTGACTCGCAACCATGGAAACCAAGTCTCTAAATGCACAAAACCCACCACATCAACCTTTGGAGCACACTGCTGGTGAATTTCCAAAAGATACAATAGTTGGGGAGATGGCCACAAGGAGAGTGATTGCCTTTACAGGCATGGCACTCTAATCCTGACAGATTTATTTTCCAGAGGATAAAAGCTTGCACATGCATTCTACTAATAAACACTATTTAGCACTGAATGTAGTATGTAGCATCCTAGCAACCATGCTTGTACACCAATAAATTACAATACAAAAAGCCCCCAGCAGAGTTCAAACACAGCAGCTAACTTGTCTCCTGTTCCTATACCATGGTAGCAGAATCCCTCTCCCTCTCCCTTCTTTTTCTTTTTTTTATCTTTTTGAGACAGACTTAAATTACATCAAACTCCAGGTGCAGGCATGACAAAACATCGATATCCCAGTATAACGCTACTCCTTGAATTGTGGAACTTCTACTTGGTACTTTTGGTGTTGAATGCAAGCATGAAGTATCCAAGGCTTCTTTTAATTCACTGATAGCTTATATTCTGATGTTTTAAAGGTCGGGTTACTTAAAAGTACTCCCTATACTTTCATTTACCTCTCTTTTTCTGTATGAAGCAGTTTCCTTACAAATGGAGCTCTAAAGTTATAAAATCACAGAATTAGAACAGACCTTGGAAGTACACCCTCCTGCTCAATATAGGATCTGAAGCTATTATGTTTGACCAATAGAGCAAAATTGACAAAAAAAAGTAAAAAGTGAAAAGTAAATATAGATTTAATCCAACAGTTAAACATAATGTGTGTGCAGTCAGTGCAATATTATTTTTATAAATCTGTTTCATCTTTGAAAACATTTCTTTAAGAAACTAAAATCCAGTTCCCACAGATATTTAAGTCTCGTTCCCACTGTTGTCTCTTGCTCTTTTTCTTGGCTTCCTCCACAGTTTCTCCTGTTCTCTTTGAAAGACGTTTTTAGAATCTGTTTTTACAACCTGTTTTTAGAACCTGTAAGTGAATCCTTCTTCTGTTTCACAATAGCTTTCATCAGTAACTAAATTCTGCCTCAATGAGAGCCTCAGTGGCGCGGTGGTTAAAGTGCAGTACTGCAGACTACTTCTGCTGATCACGGGCTGCCAGCAGTTTGGCAGGTCAAATCTCACCAGGCTCAAGGTTGATTCAGCCTTCCATCCTTCCGAGGTGGATAAAATGAGGAGCTAGATTGTTGGGGGCAATAGGCTGACTCTGTAAACCACTTAGAGAGGGCTGTAAAGGACCATGAAGCGGTATATATATATATATCTAAGTGCTATTTTACATCTTTGTAAAATATGATCAAGCTTTGTGAGTATATATTTAATGCCAGGAAAGGAAAAGTATTGACGGCCTTTATATATATTATAATGTTAAGGAAATCTGTTGACTATATAGGTTATTTAATCAGAGTTATTAATCATTAATAAATTGGCTGTTCATCTACATTTTCCTTCCTTTCTATCTAGCTATGTTACCTCAAATTTATACAAAGAAATGGGAAATAAAAAGATGTTCCAGATAGGTGATGGCAGCAAAATCAAGAGATTTTTTAAAGAGATGTCCCTGGGTTAATGGAAGCTTTCC